GCAGCAGCTTTCATTCCTGAGAAACAGTAAAGTTCTGTTTTCAGCTTGGTTGTGAGAACATACCAGGTAGACACTAAGTAATATTAGTCATTTGTAAGATTCGTAGCTCTGTAAACACAAAACTCACAGTGATCTGACCGTGTCTGGGCACTTATTGATTAAATCAGCCCTATCTGATGGGTTCTTTTGAAATAAAACACATTATGTGCAAACCATAATTCACTGCACAATCACATAATGGACTTTCGCACAGTGCTCGTTTTATTTAACACACTCTTGATAAGATGAATAGTTTCAAAATCAATGTTGCAGCGGTAACACTTGATGTGGCAAACATCAGTCAAACGAAGGTGTTTGACATTCTTCTTCATTAGCTTTTATTAATAAATGTTTGCTGACATTAGACACTGCCAACACTGACTTTTTTTTCCAGCATCACAAAAATAAAGTTGGTTGGTCTGTAAAATGTCACAAACAAAGAGAGATCACCTTCGCTAATTTCACTCACTGCAAGATGATATCTTGTTTTGTCTGTTCAGAAGCACATAGAGGCAAAATTACTACATCTGGTCCAGCTAAACAAGCTAATTTATTATTTTTCTTTTTTCAGCAGTGAATTAATTTATTATTGTTGTGCTCATTTAAATGAATTCAGTGTTTATTGTCATTTGCACAACTGGAAACATGTTTCGTTGAGGCCACTGTTGAGCCTTCTTGCCCAGCGGTGTGGTGTGATATTCACTGATGTGGATGCCCAGGTATTTAAATCTGCTCATCCTCTGTGCTTCAAGCTCATGGGTTACATTGGTTGAAGAGGTCGCCTTTGCCTGATTTGGGTTACAGGAGGCTAAAGTTTGCCCTTACTTTAACTGGGTGAGATGCAAGGGCCAGACCGCAGAGGTCAGCTGTCCAACACAGACCAGCCATTCATGCATGTTATTGTTCACCAAGTTTTGTGGGACGATCAAACCATAAAGTTGAAAACTTCTTCAAAGCTTCCCAATAAAGCATGATACAACAACACATTTATAGTTGCTGTGCCAGAGATTTGCTGTAAAAGGGCTCTGTGTTAGAGTGTGTACCAGAAGTGAGTCACTTCAAGTCTTTAACTGATTCGAATTTGAACCATCGTGTACCATCATCCACCCCATCTGTAAGTCCACATATCTGGAGATTTCCCTCAACGACTTGTAAAAACCAAGAGATACTTGAACATTGTAATCCTGCCTCTCAGTAAACACACACGCACGCACGCACGCGCGCACGCACGCACACACACACACACACACACCGAGCAGAGCATCTGCCAGAAAATGTATCTCTGAGTGACAGCATCTGGCTGTCTCTCAGTTACTTATTGCACGTTTGTTGGGTTGTCTTCTGTCTACATATGCTCCCGACAAAAACACACTAATAAAGCTTCCTTTGGAGGCATCTGTCAAACACATACCGGAGCTGTGGCTTCTCTTCTTTTCTTTCCTTTTCAAAAGGAAAGTGCATTGTTTCCAAGCATGGTGTGCATTTGTGAAAACAATAGACTTGGAAGTGATGTTGGCTCCGTGTGGTACAAAGTTTCTCTTTAGAATTAAAAATAAAATACATACTTAGTTGCAGCAGAAGTTGCTGGAGACAAATCCACAGTAGTGTTTTGTGAAGTTGATAGTGGGGCAGTAGGAAAGGGATGGCTAAAATCTTTAGAGATTACTATGAATGCATTATTTATAACTTACTAGTCAATAGAATTCCAACAAGATATCTTTAATCCCTTTGATTTGAAATAGCTTTGTTTTCCTGTTCCTCCTACGTCCTGCTCAAGAGGGGTGGGGCATTCTAGGAATTTTAGTTTTTATCTGATACCAATTAAATACAAGGCTGGTATCGCCGATTCTGATACCAATACTCGTCAATTGCTGCGTTTCCATTGACAATGAAAATGCGCAAATTAGAATTTCGAAAATAAATTTGCTCAATGGAAAAACGTCAGTTTAAAAAAATGTCTTGACAAAATGTTTTTGCGCTAGGAAGAGGTGGTTTTTCGGCCGTATCGAAATTGATGTATTTCGCAAAACTGCAATGGAAACACTTTTTTCGCATCACGGGAGTCACATGATCAACAACCGGCTGTTTCTACTGGCGAAAAAGACGACGAAGAAGTTAACAGGAAGTAAAAGTAGTAGTGAAATCCCAGAAGTAGTAAAAGAAAGTTGTAAACTCACCGGCTACATTTTCCCAAAAACACCACATACATAGCCACTCCCAAGTATAAGGAGCTTGTCACTCGAAAGCCTTGATCAGATGCCGACATCTCCTCTGATGGCTGTTGATGAGCGCTAGTGTCATGGTAGAAATATGCTATGTGTTTACATCCATTGCCGCCATGTTTGTCATGACTTATCGTGAGAACAAGCGTATTCCCACGTGACTTTAATAGCGTTTCTTACTTAAAGGAACAGTGTGTAGGATTTTGTCAATTCTTTTAGCCGAAATTGAGATAATCACTAATGACAATAATAAAAAACATGTCTAATCACTGCAGACAAAGACTTTGTTTTATTATTTTTACCTTATAAAAAGCTGTTCATATCTCCATGGTCGCGGGTCACCACACAGGCAGCCGCCATCTTGTCTACGAAAGCTCGTGAAGGACAAACTGCGGTGGCGGCGTCAAAAACGGTTTTAGTTGTAATATTATAAATGTAATATTTGCTGTCTCTAATTAGCTACGTTTACATGGACAAAAGTAATCGGATTAAACAGCCGTTCGGAATAAAAATGCGTCATGTAAACAGCCCGTTCCGATTATTCTGATCCGATTGAGCTAGATCCGAATGAATTTTTAATCCGAATGAAAAGGGTGGGTTATACTGATTCATAATCGGAATGAGGTTCATGTAAACACTTAATTGGATCATCTTATTCTGATTGTAGAAAACTGACCTGTGTGCGCATGTCTGCTGACTTTCATTCACCCGGTGGGACAGCAGCGCTCCAGCTGTGCTGCACCGTGCAGAACTTTTCCTCCACGCTCTTTTAACAGATGAAAAATGGGGCAAACAGCAGACGTTGCTTTGCAAAAAATAAAAACAAAAATCACATATTGCTTCATCTGCAGGCTGCAGCTCAATCGAGGAGTAACGGCGTCTCTACTGTTATTAAAAGCTGACACGGGTCCGTCCTGAGCGCACAGAGGAGCTTTGTTTACGGTTGTAACACGGAAGTAGAGCTGAAAGTTTACAACACTGTGCATGTCCGGACTTTTATTCTGAATAAAACTCCGGTGCATGTAAACACTTTTCATGATCGGATTGTGTCCATGTAAACAGTACATTCGGATTATTTAATCTGAATACATTTCAATCCGATTAAAACATTTTGTGCATGTAAACATGGCTGGTATAATTTTACTTATTAAAGCTCATAATCTTACCACTTAAAACATCACTAGCCCTGAAGCTGCTGGTAGACATCGCGGTTGGAATTATCAAAGGTTTTTGACACCTGAGAGACACCGTAGCAATGCCTTTGCATTTGGAAGCGGGGGGGTGGGGGTGGGGGGAGGACCAGAGAGGATGATTCAACCACTCAACCACTAGATGTCGCTGAAAACAACAAATCCTACACACTGTACCTTTAATGGAAACACTGCAATTGTGAAACTGTGTTTTTCGACATTAACAGAATATCAACAAAGTTTTGTGCACATTTGCAGTGGAAATGCAGCTATTGAACAATTACTTGATTTTGCCTTTAGTTAATCCATTATGATAAAACATAGGACAAAGATGTTTCGTGTTAACTACAACAAAATAAAACAATGTAACAATAAAACGATAACACATTAATCCCCCTATTGTCTTCTACTACACAAACTTGTTCAAGAAAAAGGTCAGTAATGTAAAGTAACAATAAAAAAGCTACAAAAATGTAAATGTAACGATGTCAAAAACACAACAAATATAACTTCCATTGCACTTGGCCATGATGTAGCAAACTCCCTCCAAACAATTTGGAGATACACTACTGACTATTTTTGAAAAAAAGTCAGTAGTGTTAAAAAAGTTTAAACAAAAGAATCAATCTCATCACGCTAGTATCGACCCAATCCGATACTCATTTTGGTACTCATTTAAATCGATCCTTTGATGAGAGCAGCATTTTACCACCTCCATCATTCTCACTCTGACTCTTTGTCCATGATTTGAAGCGACAAATCCTTCAGCCCACAAACTTTTCCTCCGTGACTGAAGGAGAACTCCTTCCTTACTCATCATCACTTCTTTCCACGTCTAGTACAACGTGAACAGCAAGGAGTGGATCCATGCTCCACACTGCCTGACATGTGGTTCTGTCAATAAAAAGATTTAAAAATATGTCAAAACCTCTAAACTTTAGCTTTGCTTCCATTTTTTTAGATTAGAACATTAAAATAAAATCTAAATTGTAACCCCAACGGAAGCAGCAACACATTAAGCTACAATAGAAGAAAATAAATAAAAATCATCTCACTGTGCAGGGTACCAAGATGCTTCTTTCACACTGACATGTCCCGGAAGAGCCCATCTGGTTTTAACCAGCCCTGCAACTTATTTGTGTGTACTCTTGTCACTTTGTCTGTGGTCTGAATCTGACAGCTGGACGGATGGAGATGTGTGTCAATCCCGAGTCTCTTGCTGAAATGCTTTCTCAGCACTCTGTGTTTTCTCAAAGCAAGAAGCCTTGACTATCAAAAAAAAGCAAGACTGTTTTGTTATTGTGTGTGTTAATTCTGATCCTCAAGCTAACTTGGGGGCATGTTTTGTTCATTACAGCGACACACATTAACGCACACACAAACAAGCTCTGTAATAAAAATGTTAAACAGGGGCTGAATTCAGAACATAAGTCCAGTTGTACTGAGTGACTGAGAATCCACACCAACAGCGCGGACTCGTCTTAAAGCCGTTGACTAAAACGTTTCCTGCTGCAGAGGTTTAATCATTTCTCTACTTCCCTTTTCCCAGGCGGAGTTGAATGGCATTAAATGGCGTTGCTACAGTTTCAGCGGCGGTGGAGAGTACGGCCCGGTGATCTCGGCCCCGGCTCAAGATGACCCGGTCCTGCGCAGCTTCATGCGCTGCGTGCAGGCCAACCTGCTCTGCGTATGGCGACGCAAAATCAAGCCTGATGCCAAGCAGTTGTGGATCTTCTGGTGGGGCGAGGAGCCCAACCTCTCCGACGTCATTCACCACGAGCTGGAAGGTGAGAAAAAAGCAAAAAAAGAAAGAAACGTGGGATATCAGAGATGATCGATGCGGCTTTATCAGTCATACTTTTGAAAGTTTGACGCAGAGGCTGTGTAGTTGGATAGCTGCTCTTTATTACGCTGCGGCGGATTATATGAACAGGGGAAATGCAACATGGAGCCATCATGTGGTTTTAGAGGATTTTCTGGAAAACTGACAATGAAATAGAAAAATATGTGGGGGATATTCCAAGCAGATGCACCAAAGCTGGGAGTTGTACGAGCGCCAAATGGATTTAAGGCCTATAATGTGGGATATTGCCTGTAGATAATACAGTACATGAGCTGAGAGAGCAGAGTCGATATTCAGATTATTTAGTCTGCTGTACGTTTGAGCTGAGCGCTGTTTGTTCGAAACGTTTTTTTTTTTTTGAGACATTGATCTGTTTTGTGTGGAGCAGTCCCATTTTACAGCCTTGGCTGTGAAGTGTTTGCTTTGCAGCTCAAACATTTTATATCTTTTCTTGTGCTGCTTCAGTAGTAGAGTAAACTGTGCTCGCTGGTATTTACTGAATGTATGTGCGTGTTAGTGAAAATTACACTGAGATATCTCACTTTGGAGACTGCTACTGTCAGCATTATTGTCCCTATTTATAGAGGCATTTGCATTATCTCTCCACGCACGTGTGTGGCAGTTCAACATATCGACTAAGCCTCAGAAAGACAGGGAAACAGGAGAGGGATTATGATAGGCTTGGTTTTGCTGAACAACAGCCGGGAGGGGGAACAAACAGGTATTTTGGTTGGAGAGGTTGAAGCGATGCAGAGAATTTCTGTCTTCAGTTACTTAATAAACTGAGTTGATGTGAAAAGGCCTCTCAGGTGCTGCAGTTAAGTATTTGCCAAATGTTCTTCCTGCCACAGGGAGAGCCCTTTGCACTAACATGTAGCAGAGGGCTACATTTGCATCCGGCTGTACTTACATCACCCAGCTCTAATATGATACGGCCTCTCTGAAGGCTGCGTTTCGCTGTCCTTATTGATTTTGAAAGATCCACACAGGCTAATAATGATCACAATAACAGAGTCATTGTGAGGGAAGCTGTAGCAGCAATTTGATTTTCTGAGCAAAAACTTCATTACCTGAAGCCATAAAACGTGAAATTTTAGCATTACCTCACCAATTTACACGTCACTAATGGCTCCCTAAAATATTGATTATGACTCTCTTTGAGCAGCACACTGAGGTCCAATAAACTTGACAATAACCTTGACTATTCAATTACGCTTTATGGCTATTGATTTGTAACCATTTCAGTTGTGTCCCTATTTTAACAAGTCTTTGTCGGTTTATTCATGCAGGCAGTGGAGACATAATCAGTAAAATATTGTTTACTGAACACTTCCCATGAAGACCAAAGATCGGTTTATTGGATTTACAAAACAAACCTTCTAATGTAGTCATTAGGTGTAAAAACACAAACAATCATGAAACTGTAACAGAAAGATAATTATAATCTTGTGTCAAATTTATTGTCAGTGCAAACTAGTTCATGATTTTTTATAATAGTTAAACATCTAAAATCATTTTAGTTCCTCTAATTGAATAACAAAAGACAGTAAATTCTCATTTTTAAGAAACTGAAGCCATTTGTTGCTGAAATGATTCTCTGTAAAGTCATACAAACAATAAATTCTTAAAGAAGACAAACAGAATACAACTTTTTATGGCCACTATAACCCCTACCCCCAAAAAACTAAATAAAACTTACTAAATAAAATAATAATAAATTCATAAAATAAAAAAAATAAAAATGAGTAAATAAATAAATTAGGTTTTGCAAATCAAATTAGCATTTGAATTCTTTAGGACAGATTTACAGTTTGGCAAAAGAATACTATCCATTGTTAATTACTGTTATTATATTGTAGGTGCTTTTTACTGCATGGAACCACAACTGTTTGGTTTAGTTTGTGTTTTGTTTGCCTCGACACTGCTGGTTCTGCTGCTGCTCGTCTTCGAAATAATTACCTCTGAAATAGATGCTTTCTTGGCTCAGTAAAGTCTCAGATGATGTAAAGGAATGTGATTGGTCCTTCCATAAGATAACTGGTGTCAAGCACCTGCACTATTAAAACTGCACAGTTACAGTATAAACTACATAAATGTCACCATAGTTTGCTATAATGTGTTCAACTTTGAACAAGTGTAGCACAGACTGACCTCTTGTTTGACCTCTTGGCTTTTATCCCTCCTTTTAAAAAAACTTTTGTAAAGATGTAGCATTTTCAAAGGGGACCTATTATGCAAAATTCACTTAAATCCACTTCATTACGGATTTGTTCTGTGGTTTTAACAACAGTCATAGAGAACAGAGCTGCATGGCCTGATTTTATTTTTATTTTTGCATTATTGCCAAAGAAAGTTGTAGTTCGCGCAAATAATTTTCCAATGGACTCCTTCGAAAATGTCTATCAGTACACAGCAGGATTTGCCCAAGAACTTTCAACTGAAGGAAGCTCCTGTCCCAACTGTTCATCACAAATTTGCAGAGTGTTTAGTATTGCTGTTCGGCATGAACATGATTTGCCATTTAGCACAAACTAAAAAGCACGCAGACCTATAAATCCTTTTCACACCCTGAGTGCTATTTTCAGAGCTTAATGTGAGGTGTAAAGAAAGACCTGAGAGACTTTACACTTTAGATCTGAAGTGTTAACTCTGTGTTGGGGGGGTGGAGCTAATGTAAACAAAAAGGTTGATAGGGCGTTGCCAAAATCAGCTTATTTGCATAAACAGCTCGTTCTGAAAGGAGCTCAGAACAGGCAGAACTGACCAGGTGAAATCTCATTATCTGAAAATGAGTTTGTCTATTAAATCTAATGAACATGTTTTGTAAAGCCCACAGATGTATCCTAACTTGTTCAAAGAGCCATAATTGGTCCCCTTTAAAAGGTATGCACATCATGCTCCACCTTTCATGTTTTTAGTTTTAAATTAATCCTAATTGATCACTGAGCATGATGTTTTACAATCAGAAAAATGTGTTGAGGATGACTTTCAGGCACTACCACAACACGTTTTAATGCTTTAATAATTAAATCAAGTTAAAGCCATTTTTCTGAGTGCTGCACAGTGATGGTGTTGCAAAGCAAACATGTAGGTCCTTATAACTGCTCAGCAGTAGCTTAAAATCCCTGAAGAGTCCTCTAATGACATGCAGCGGAAAGCTAGCCTCTAAAGGTGGGAACACGAGTCAGTTTTCCTTTCAGTGCACAAAGAGTGAGAGGAAGAATATTTAAATGAACCATTTAATGAGTTTTGAACTGTGCAATTAATGAGGGTTGTTTAGTGTAAAATAAGAAATCCCCAGGGGTGGACTGTAGGCAGAATGTAAAGTTAACAGTGAGGTAAGTTCAAAAGGTGTTTCTTGGTGTTGTGCGGCAGCATGCGCGCTGTTAATGATCCTGAATTATCTTTTTTTTAATAGGTAAAATTAAAAGTGAGTTTCCATGACTAACATGAACAAGTAAGAGTTAATTAATCAAATTAGACATGTGTGGCAAACCATCCAGTTTCATCTGAGCTAATGATGATTATTGTGACTCTATTGTTGCAGAAAAAAACAGACAAAAACAAACAAAAAAAAATCTGCTTTAGTGTTATTAGCAAACCGGAGACTCCTGGTTATTAACGAGTTTGCTTGTTTGTGGCTGCAGTTTCAGCTGCTGTTAGTAGACTTCTTTGGTTATTAATGACCTGATTGTGTTCAATGAGTTTGTAAACAAGTGCAAATAGGACACTTTGAAAGATCATATTTGTGGCTTTTAACATGTAAATATATGTTTTTTCTATAGCATGTAAAAAACCCCACAGATATCCAACAGTGTGGGTGAAAATGTGAAATAACTGCACCCTGCATGTCAATATTTTGACTAAAGTATGTAATTAGTTGAAATATGAGTTACATATAAATTTATAGTAATTCTTAAATTTAAATGTGAGCTGAGTGAGTTTTATATTAGTAAAAAGGAACTTTGATTAGGATCGCAGTAAAAGCTGCTTGCCTTAAAACACTCAAAGACACACACATCCACACACTCTTCTTTCATTAATGACAATAATACAACTTTATTTTTGTGTGTGTAAAGTCTCTCAGGCCTTTCTTTACACCTCACATTAAGCTCTGAAAATAGCACTCAGGGTGTGAAAAGGATTTAGTAATAGTTAATTAAAATGAAGCTGGATTTTGTCCAAATTACAATCAGTTGTAACTCGGGGAATATTAGTGTTTTTATCAAGGCTTAAAAAAAACTACACACCTGAAAATGTGTCTTTGTGAGAATGTTTGATGATTGCCTTCCTCGCTCACCTATGATCGGACTAAAATAGCACAAAGTGTGCAGAAGTATTTAGGTTGAATTCTAAATGCTAAATCTGCATTCACATATGGGTTTTGGTCCATATTTTAATTGTATTTTATTTTTTACTTTGTTCCAGGCCCATAAAGACCAAAGTTCCTTTTTTGTGGTGAACACATAAAGAAACCAGTTGTGACAAATTAATCATTGTTGTTGCTAATAGATGTCTGATCCTCCTAACGAATCGTGTGAATTAACTTCTGCAGTGGAGACACTCATCCATTCAGAAACAACCCACTGATTTATGCAGATTTGATCGAACGGTAACAGCTGTCGTCGTGTGAATAATTAACGTTTTTTTCTTCATGTTTTGAGTCATAAACGAAAATTAAAGCAGTGTGGATGTCAGTGTGAAAAAACTCAGAACTGTAGTCTGATGTTAGTAATGATTAGGAGATGTGGTTTAAAATGATTTACAAAACAATAACTGATAATTTTACATTAAAAAGATGAAGTGTAAATCTGTAGCACACCTTTAAAAGTCGGCTACAGTTTACTTCAAGGAGGACTGGAACCAGTACAGTCATTTTTTGTTTGTTTTAACAAAATTTATCTCTTTTTAATGAGATCTTGGATCTCAATGAGATGTGTAAAT